GAATGATCCTAAAATTACAGCACTCAAATAATGTAACATTGATAAGCATATATTGTCTTACCTCTTGAATTAATTGAAATAGCTCGCGAATTACATTCAGTATTGAGAAGAAGGCAATGAGAATTCGGAAGATCAATAAAGATTGGATAAATGATACCGCGTCCTACATTTTAGCGGAATTAAACTATGAGTTTTTGGAAATCTTGTGATAATTTCAATCGAATTTCCACTTTTATGCAGTGCATCAAAACTATTGCAAATCAATAATTTCCCTATTCCTATTTCTGATGACTAGGCGGCAATATCTTATATACTTATAGGATATATTATAAATCTTTATTATATAAAAAGTTTAATTTGTATGTAAGAATTAAGAGACAATGGTGCAGAACAAGATTCTTTTTTGGATTGGGAAATCAAACGGTGTTACTTTGAAGAATACACAAGAAATAATGACAGTAATCATATCATCTTAAGCCGTTCGCTAACTTTCTTGGGAAATGTTATCATTGGTCGGCCACACATAATGACACTAACGACAAAGCAGTTATTAATGTAGTTTATTGAAGAGAATAACCTACTCAAGAACGGGTGAATAGTAGAACACACTTTTAGTAAGATAAGTGGCTTTCATAGAATCCGTAACTTATAAACAATAGGAAAAGAACAACATGCTACGTAGAATATTGTTATTAATTACTGTTAGAATATCAATATCTTCATAACGTATGATAACGATATGACTAAGCAGTATTGCTGATATGGAACATGTATGAACTAAGAACTATAATATACTGTAATCTAGAAACGAGTAATACACTATGGAAAACTTAATTACACACTGTCAACGGTAGTAAAATACCTTGAAAGATAATCAACTGTTAACTTTTAGAAAGATAAGTTCATATTTGACTTAATAGGAAATCTATCGTAAAGGCTGTAGTAAATTAAGCCCTGATTATATTTAGATTATACCTAAATTTGAACGTCTTAGGATTAAAAGTAGTCTGTCTACAGTACTTGAATTATTCGTAGGTGCTAACACAGTTTGTTATCTAAAATTACTGATTATAGCTTATATGTCAACTATGGAGATTTAATACAAAATTATGCTAAATTGTAGTAGTAATTCATGCGATAGAAATGTGGTAATTGACAGAGCTAGACCGGATTTTTAAGAAGTCCTGAATGATATATTTTAGATGCGCTGGCGTTCATTAGAAAATTTACTAAAATTATAACTCTGGATGCGGTTGGAGCTATCATAATATTAAAAATCTGTTTAAGAGCGCGCCAATGATGAATAAAGCGCTTTTTAGTGATTTCTCCGAGTTCTTCGTGGGTTACACTGACTACTATACGTAGTTGGTCAGGGATCGCTAAAGGAAGCGTGGTTCTTTTATAGCAGATTGCCTAGTGATTTTACTCTAGAATGATTCTAGTCTTTATTACCGGCGTAGCGGTATAACAGTAAAAGTGATAGGAAGAGAAAGTGTCTCTCTCAT